ACAAGTCTATATTTAAAAACTCGATTACCAATTTTATCATGAGGCATAGGAGTAAGATCGGATTGATGCATTTCGTTCAAATTTTGAATTCCATTAAAAGATGCATACTGAATAAATTTCGGGCGGGGCTTATGTATTTGGTGCAACGCCTGTTTGTTTAACCATTCTCTAACATCAGCCAATGAAAAGTTATTTCCGGTTTTTTTACACGCATCGCGCAATTTTTCAGCGGTACGATAATAACCCTGAGGTCTATAATACAATTTTCTAAGCTCAATAGCAATATCGAGTTTACGCGCTATTGTAGGATCAATAGAAATAATGGGAAGATAACCCGTCATTTTTTTATCAAACTATAATAATGGAAAACAAAATCCTAGATCCGGCATTCGTGCAACTCACGCAATCGAATATCGAATTACGGGAGGAGTTAAATCGCGAGGTAGATATAAATCGTACCAATGAGAAAAAAATTCGTAAGCTTATGCGAGAATTGGAAAAATGCGAAGGAGAATTAATTCGTCGGAGTATTACAATCACTGATCAGGAGAATGAAATCGATGATTTAAAAATCCAAATATCAAATATACGAAAACGATTGAGATCAGCTCTCAAAGAAATTAAAACAAGCGAAACGGTAATTGACCGCAAAAATAATCAATTAGTTGAGTATGAGGAAAAAATTACCAGTCTTAAGAAAAGAATCAGCGAATTAGCATACCGTAAAAAAAATTGCCTAATCAAATAGAAATGGCTTCGCCGTACGGCTCACCGAGAATTCATGATGATACTCTTAATAATTTTGAAAGTTTATGCCAATCAATCAGGGAAAATTTACAGCACTTTCCCACATTACACGTAACTGGAGCAAACACCATTGGATGAGCTTTGAATGCAATTATCGACCATTATAATCAATCCCAGGATGCAATACGCAAATTGGAAAGGCAATTACGGGACTTACGTAATAATGCCACATCTACAATCCAACACCATCAAAATACAAATTACAACCTAAATCAACGCCTGACACAGGAAATAGAAAGAGCAAATAAAGCCACCCTCGACAATGGGGCATTGTGGAGAACCAATGCAAATATACGGGATGCGTGGCGCATGTGTGAAGAAGATTATAGAAACGAAAAGTTAAAGCACGTTTTCTGGAGAGTAAATTCTGAAAAAAACAAAACCCGATTATTATCTGAAATTTTTGCTCTCAAAATTCTTTGCAATAGATACAAAAATAAAGCCCAACCACGTGCTTTTCTGTATGAAAAATACACAAAATGGAAAAATAGGACAAAAGCTAAACATGCCAAATATAACAAGTGGAAGCTTAGGACGAGGCTAGTCCGTGATGGTAATTTAGAATTGGAAGATCGAATTAATTTTTTAAACCAGAGAATTTTTGATTTACAGAATAATATACCTCCGCAAAACCAAAACATGGCAACTTTACAAGATGTTATGAAATCGCTGACATCAGTTATCGGCAATATACCACAATATACAGGACAAGAATCACCAGACAATTACTATAGTAAAATTGTACAGACTTTTTCTTACGGAGAAATTCTTGGTGTAGGAGGGTTTGACGATGTAGTAAAGACAAAAATTCTGATATCCAAAATGGCAGGAAAATATGCCCCAGTTCCCGACCAACACAATGGCAACAATATTAATACTCCTGAACGTTTCAAAGCTTGGATAAAACATAAATATCACGAATTAACATATGGGTTACGACAAACTTCATTAACAAAATTAATGCAAGAGAAATTTTTGCCATCAGATACCCCTGAAACTTATGAGGAAAGAATTCGCCTTTTGTTATTGCAAACGTCCAATGATAACCCTGAGGCCTTGGAGATATTATGGAAGCAATTACCGTTTGAACTCTATAGTACAGTAAAGATAGCCCAACCAAATAATATAGATGATTTCTTCATTGCTGTTAGAAACGCTTGGTTAGAATACAAACCCCCAACTTTTACATACAATGGAGGCCAGACTTCGGGCACTGAAGCGAGTTCACACCAAAAGTCTTCAATCCCAGCTCCGCAAGAAAAAAATAATAAGGCATTAGCGACTTTAGAAATGTACGCCATGAGATTAGGTTACCCGGCTGATGCACCTCGAGATTTAGAATCTTTAGAGGAAAAAGTTTGGGATACAATAATTACAATCTTAGAAAAGAGTTTTCTGGTGGAAGAAAATTATCCTCAGTGAATAAATCCAATGTTAACAGAAAATCCGCTAACAAATGTTCTAACTGCGGTAAAACTGGGCATAGAAAAAATCAGTATACTAAGAAGACTCGAAACTCCACTTCCTCTGCTGTATGCTCAAAAAAAAAAAGCCATAAATTCTGGTTCTAGAGGTAAATCTCGCAAAGTGGGGAAAAAAAAGCAATCATCATTAAATACTTCATCTACGGTAGCTGTAACTCAAAAAATATTCCGGGCATCTTCTAAGTCAATGATAGAAGCGCTGGTTAAAGAATGTCCCAAACCTATTTTACCAGAAATTTTAGATTACTTGGGTAAAGTATATAACGGTTTGAAGGATAAGCTTCTAGTCAAATTTGCATCGAATTATTCCTCCAAGGAGAAAAAAGTAATTTGGGAAAATGTTACGGAATTTTATAATGATATTTTATTCCCTTTGATTGAGGCCGTCAATCGAATAAGTAAATCTAATGAACAACCTCAACCTAACTCATTAAATTTCGCAATCAATAGACATTTTAGTGAGAACACAAAAAAATCTTATTGGCCCGATCCAAGATATGAAATAAATTTTATTGAGGCCAAAGACCCCGATGATGTGGCAACAATATGTTGTAAGGTTGCGTCGATGACGATTCCACATGCATTGACTGATTCCGGTTCTAATGACTCACTTATTTCTGACGATATTGCAGAAGACATGGGACTTAAAATAGATACATCAAATATTCCATGCATTACTGGTGTTGCGAGCAAGGCTAACGTTTTAGGAACATCATATAATGTACCCGTGTCTATTAGCGACGGAATAAATACAATTTCGGTAAATGAAAACTTTTCAATTGTTAAAGCTGAAAAAAATAGAAATGGAGATTGCAAGTCTCTAGTTCTATTTGGCAACCCTTTACTCAACAAGCTTGGATGGGAACCTATTGTTAATCGAGAGTTTAAGGCGACCCGCAATGGTGTGCATGTTACAATTCCTCTTTCGGTACATAAATCCCAGCGTGAGGTTTTTACAGCAGAAAAATTGGAAAATATTTCAGTGGTACCACCGCAGAAGGCTTTCATCAATGATTTAGAATTGAAACGACATAAATGTCGATTGTCGAGTCAATGTCGAGTCATGTCGAGTTGATGCCAAGTCATGTCGAGTCTATGTTGAATTGTGTTGAGTCTATGTCAGCGGTACCGCTGAGTCATATCGAGTCAACAATGGGTCAACGACAAGTTAACAATGAGCATACACTGTCATACAGCCGCAAGATAAATAATGAGAAAATAGATTAACTCTCGTAGGGAGGGGGTCTTCAACTTCGGTGGTACCACAGAAAAATGACCGGAGAATCGCGCAGAGTGCGCACGGAAGTAAATTTGTGTTTGATGAAATGAAAATTTGAATTTCAATTATGTGATGAAGCTGCATAAGTGGCTTTGCACAAATATATTTTTTCTTCAGCCGGAGGACGCAAAGCGCTTCGATTTCTATTTTTTCGGTTTTCCAGCTGTACGGCCCACATAGGCTTCAGAACAGTAAACAATATAATCACAATAAGTAAGAAAATAAGAAAAGTAAACAGTAAATCTAAGCAGCTTGCAGTGGTACCATTGGCGCCTCTATTCCTCCTGTGTAACCACTGCCGTACGGAAGCATAGACATATGTGAGTCAGATTTTGTCTGCTCCATATTTTGTATCAAGCTATCTATAGAACTCTTCTTCTCGCTATCAATACTATCTTTTCTCTCTGCTGATGTACGGCCTGTGAAGCAAGTAGAAAATTTACGTGTATTCTCAATATTTTTTATTGATTCCAAACTTGGCCTTTTAATCAAAAAAGGACGAAGGCTAAACTCAGAAACATCCTCGTTCTGTGAGCCAAATATTTGGCTATCACGTGTATTAGAAGCGCTCTCCTGGGACTCAGATGAGTCGAAGACTCGAAGCTCCGCTTCTTCTAATCTATGCTGTTGTACATCTCCACCAACTACAGACTCAACTACGGACTCAGTGGTACCATCGCAGAGCAAAGGTGGGTCAGAAACTCCAGAAGTTTCAATAGTATCACTGGCTTCCAGCGTCAGCTCGATTTTTAACTCACTTAGCTCAGAATTAAGAGACAAAATTCGGAATATTTTTTTGATATGTCTGTTTGAGCTAGAGCTAATTTGTCTGTCAACGTTTTAATAATAGATTGATGCGATTTTATCTCGCTTGATTTTATGTGCAGAGCGCACTCATTTTCTTGCGTAGTAATCTGTAACTTAGCCAATTTGTCTTTGAGAGATAAAATTTCGGAATGTTTTTTTGACAAATCTTTTTGAGCTAAGGCTAATTTTTCTTCTAAAGTTTTGATTCCAGATTGAAGTGATTTTATCTCGCTTGACTTCATAGTAACCTGGTCATTGCATTGCGCCAGAGAAATGTCTATTTGAATTTTCGATCTGCAATCTCTTAGCCTCGTTAGCAACTTTAAGTGCATAGGAATGTATCTTCTGAGTCTCAGTGGTATTCTGTTTTAAACTATGTTCCAACCGCTTTTTTTCCCGTTCCCAACATTTTTTTTCTCGATCAAATTTTTCGCCTTGCGTTTAGGATGCTATCCCGTAATTCCGCATTACATTTAAGCAACTTAGACGATGCTTTAAAGTTATGGCGTATTTCTTCCTCAAGACTTTGCTCACTGTTTATAATATATATAAAAAATAATTTGAAAATATTAGGTAAATACTGAAACTTATCGAAAATTATCGAGCATTATTATTATAACACATTGCATAATGTGTATATGTATATATACTTGTCCTCATTCTTTAAAAATATCTTACAGCCATGGAGAGTGTTATATTATTTTTCTTTTCAATAATTTTCGGTAATTTTCTATAATAGTTTTAAAAAATGAAATCTATAACAATTGAATATTACCGTGCAGATGCGCCATATTTATCTCCGGAAGCACTCGAAGAAATTATCCAATCAAGAGGAAGATTAAAAATGCTGTTAAAACGATGGCTGATAAATATCATACTTCAACACGCCGAATTTATGAAATTTGGAAAAGACATGCTCAGGGTTTATCCCAGCGCAAACAACAAATTTCTGATCCATTTACTACTAATCCTGCTAGCGGTATTGATGAACATTACGTCCATTCTAGGCATAAAGCACTCTGCAGAGCAGATAATCAAAACATATTACAATCAGAAATCAAGGAAGAGCCTATCGCCAAGACTGTTGGAGCAGAGTTAGTGAATAAACTATACTCCCGTCGAATGGAAATAAAGAAAGCATTACGTGAGGCGGAAAAGCTGATAAAATAAGCTTTGTTCCAATTTTTATTTTTTTGAGTAGTGGCTTCACAGAGACCAACTGTGTAAGTGCCAAATTAATAAGAAAAAATTTAGATTATATTGTACTCTTCAATGGGGCCGGTACGTATGATGAATTGGTTGATATAGTTAGGCGGTATACAAAAAAATGGCGTAACATTGTTGATATAATCGATAAGAATTTGCAAGGTTGGCAGTTCATTGTAATTGACTTAACAAGAGCGAAAGAGGATCCGCTCTATATTCGTTTGGGTTGGAGCCATGCTTTGAACTTAGATACATAGAATAAGATTTTACGCTAAACAGTTATGTTACTAAGAAGCGGAGCTTCGAGGCTCTGTGGTTACACCTGCCTCATCTGACGCATTTCTGAGCCGTACGGCACTCTAATATTTTGTAAACATGCATAGTGTAAGACGAGTTTATGAGCATTGAATCCATCAGGGCGGTAAATCCATTCCAAGATTTTTCTTTGTATCTTTATACACGCTTGAATCTTTTTACCAACCTCCCTTGCGCGTTTGAGTCTTCTAATTGCATTTGATATCTATAGCTCATAATAGTGCAAGGCACGCGTATTATCGAACGTACGATCAGATTCGGGTTTATGTTTAATTTTTAAATAGTCTTCATACTTAAGTTCACAATATTTATTACCAGTACATGCCGATTTCCAATGACTCTCCATAGTTTTAATGTTTTTCCCAGTGTATACTAATTCGTTGCAAGATAAACAGATGGCAATTCCTATCGTAGGAGCGTATGATGTACCATCTTGAAAGCGTATCATTTTTCTTGCATTAAAATATTTTTTACTCTCGATAGGTAAAAGATCATTTTCTTTAAAATACTGCAAGCAAGACCAAATTCGTTGTTTCCATTTCTAGGAGTTTCGTTAGTACGAACTTGTGGCACCCAGCAATATTCAACCCATTCTTCGGGGGTGTAACGTCCATAAATCTGCCTATTTAAATCCATTTTAAACAACTTAGTCGATTATTATAAAGATTAATGTATCTAAACGCTTTTAGATTTTTAGACTTACACATGTATACCTGTAACGGGATTCAATTTTTATGCACAGAGTGCATGGACTTCATCCGATTTTGATATATATTTTACAGTGCAGAAACAAAATGAAATCTTTGTTTATAAAGTAAAAATCGAGTAATAATATTAATATATTGTGCACACTCCATATGATAAAGTATATACTACATATTATGTTTCCAATTCTAAGAGGTACCAATGAAACCTATCACGTAATTGTTTGTCTTTTTATTTAACCACAAATGTTTATAACAAGATAACTCTGTTCAAATTCCTTTTTTTATTTTAATTTCTCAATTTGATAGAAATGGGTTCCTTGTCCAACCCAAAGATGCATGTGCATGTTGAAAAATCTCCAAGTTTAAAAAAAGCTGTAATTCTCTTTGGGTTGGAAACAATATTTGTAACATTTCCAGTCTTGTTTCCACGAAAATCAATAACTGCATAGTCATTTACAGCAAGGAGAGAGTACTTTCCATTTGAGCCAAATCGGTCAATGTGTTCTGTAATCCTATCACTGTTCACCAACAATTCAAGGCCCCATCGAAGAGTTCCATTGAGATAGAAATCAACTTCTCCATGAATGCATTCAGTGCTAGCACAAGTTGGAGGAGGAAATACTTTCGAAAGTTCAGGACAAATGGCACACGTTGGCTCTGTAGACAAAGCAAGGCCTTCCATAAAAAGATGTTGGAATGTAGCTTCTTTGGGAAAATCATCTTGATTCACTGTCGACTGTTGAAGCAATGATGCAGACATGTTTCCAATGGCATTGACAATTAGAGAATGGAGCGAAGATGGTTTGGTGCAAGAGCGATTCGGGAAAAACCACTTGCTGTAATACTTCAGAGCCAAGGGGGATGAGAATTGAAGTGTATATCTGTCATTCCCAAGTGCTAAAATACCCGCCTTCATAAGGCTTGTGTAGCACCTTGAGTCCTTGTCATCCAGCATGCCATTGATAGGAGCAAGAATCAGTTCATTGACAAGACACTTGATAAGTGCATTCTTGAGCACCTGACTGATTGGTCCTGAATGCTGACTACCAAAGCATCTTGCCATTTGTTGCACAACACTATTCGATAGGTAATATGTAATCAAATCTGTTTCAGAAGGAGAAGGATCCTTGGTAAATCTTGTTGTGAGAGAATCGACAGAAATCCGTAAAGCACCAATAAGTCCATTACATTCTTGGATTAGCAGTTTCTTGACATTCAATGTATTCATATTAGTGGGCAACCCAGTAGGTAAATCAAGAAACTGATTTGCCTCATCATTGCAAAGCAGGAAATCTGGTCTGCTGAGCTTCCAAAGAGATTGGAATTCTGCAGGGCTTTCTACTCCCCCAGCCAAGGAATGGGTTGCAGCAATGAGAAATTTTATGTTTGATGGTATCAACATTGGGGTGACTTTGATGAGCGTACTCCAAAATGATATGTCATGGTAAAGTGCTTGTGCATCATCCAACATGATTATGTACTGTTGTTCGCTCGAAAAAGTAAACACCTTTCCTGAAGTATCTGTTACTTTGCCCACAAAAAGGTCATCAATCGAAAGCTTGGTCTTGATGCAGGAGATGTAAATGCAAACATACTGCGGATAGCGATGAATGAATAACGACAACAACGAAGTCTTTCCAGATCCTGCAGGGGATGTTAAGAGAAGAAACTTGCCGCCGCTGACTGTGGTAAATGTCAGAGTATCGTATATTTTTTGAATCAATGCATCACGCGGAAGGTGCGGTAGCTGTAGATCAAGTCCGTCCAAGTAACGTAAAAAAGAAGATTGTGTTCTGGTCGCTAAAAAAATGCACAGCAAGAGGAAAAGCACCACCTAGTCAGACATATGCCATGAGCCTCGAGATAATGAATAGCGACATAATTTGCAAAGTACATGCAAATATGAAGAAGGTTACTCACCAACAGCTATGGATGGATAGGTGGCGAGTCAGCAGATGTACACAATATACAAAAAAAAAAAATGTAGCGTCAGACATATCCACGACAAGTGAATGTATGTAGGAAGAGATGTAATGAATATGACAAGAAAATATCAGAATGAATGCCAGTAAAGCGTTTTCAACTACTCCCGCTGATCACTACACTCTACTCTACACTCCTCCCAACGCATTCCAACTACTCTCCATTAATGCTACGAACCCCGTAATGTCTCTACGATCGCAATATCCATTTCGTCGCTAACTAGCTAGTTTGCCTCTTATTCGCTCCTCCTATCGCTCTAAGCGAATTGTTTACTACAGGTAACCTATACTCTATGCCTACTGCGCATTTCGTAATGCATACTGAACTATAACCTAGCTCCTCTGCCATTTACTAAGCTCTTTTCCCAATGCGCGCATTCCAACTACTCTCTCCATTACTGCTACGAACCCCGTAATGTCTCTACGACGCAGCTCTGCCCCAACTAACAACGCCGCCTCTCTTGCTAGCACAAACCCAGTAATTCTTCTTCCCGTTGCTCCTCTATCCTCCCAATAAACGTGTGTCGCTTGCTTGCTTACCTTGCTTATCGAGAGTTTCGAGGTATTGCGCGTAGCAATCCGTCGTTGCTGCGGGGTTGTCTTGATGGTACTTGACGTAAAAGTCTTTATATTTGTTGTATGCGTCTTCGACCTCCGTCTCAGTTGCCGTTGGAAAGTCTCGACCATATTTCAAGTAAAAGCGACCGAGTCCCAGTGAGTAATCCGCGTCCATGTCTAGTTGATCTGGTGAATGATAATGTAAAAGACTTGCGATCTAGCTCTGCGCCGCCCAACTCAGCCCTGTTTATACGTTTTCATGTGATATTTCTCCGTATTGAAGCGCCGAATCAACCGAATGCGTTGGGACCAGCACTTGGCAAATAGATCGGGAACCCTCCATGCCTTTGTCAGAGACAAAAGACAAAGGGGAAACTCTTTAATACGCTTTCTTTACATATCACGTTGCAACAGTGTTTCCATTGTTGTATTGTATCCCTATGTAGAATTCGTGTTACGCCATTGGAATGTGATGGTTTGAACTCAAGTTCACAGGCACAGTATACACATGACTATGGAACAATGTTCGCTAGTATATTTTTGCGAATAATCAGCAGTCGCACATTTACGCAGTATTAATAAACTTTACACATTATTTATTACAAACAGTGTCTATTTCGTCAACGACAATATCTGATGTTAAATAACCGCGAGCTTGCATGGGAGGCAACTAGGACTTGATCAGAGTACTAGAAGTAGTCAGACCCAAAGCCTGTCTCCCGTACGGCGGAAGACAATAACTACTCCTATTCTTTGGGCTCGCGAATATTAACTAATATAATCATTATTGTTATCGTTATTTTTGAAACTACTGCCAACGCGAATTATTTCTCTGTCAGCGCTACTAAAAAATAGATTTCTGCTACTGCTACTAGAATTTTTTCGCTTTTCTTTCGCTTCGATTTTGTCTAATATTCTTTGCGGCCATTTTTGATGCCGATAGAAACTTGCAAGCGTTATTGGACTGAGACCTATTTCTCCGGACAAGACATTGTACATTGGTGCAGGAGAACGTTTCTCTTTTTCCAAGGTAGTAAATTCAACCCAGAGGGTTTCAGTTTCGGTATAGCATTCGGATCCGTAACTTTGTACAGATGCTTGTCCTAGTTAGTTTTACAAAGCAATGAGTTTAACCCTGAAACAAATACAATAATATACTATACATGTCCTAACACAGCGTGTCATTCTCACGAAATAGTTTACAAACCTTTACTTTGGGTTTCACTTCTCCATTCCGCTTCAGTATACGTTTGGATAGTTTTGTTTTTTAATATTGAGATACTCTTTCAAGTTTCGGTACGCTTTGATAAGTAAACACATAACCCACAAACACAGCGACGAAAATCGTAAATAAAAATATATCGGAAATATTAAGTTGCATCTTGTGGTTATTGATTTTGCGGTTGATAAATTGGTTAATCATATTTTGATTCATTAAGTGAACGTTTTGGCCACGTTGGCTCCACTAGAATGTTTTTCTTACCCAAATTTCCAGCGACTTCGTCTATTTTATACATCAAAAGTTTTTACTAGCGGATTAGGGTATTGGTTCTTTAGATTTCGTTCTAAATCGAGTATAAATTACTAGCATGAGTTCATACAGCTATAAAAAATAATAACTTACGACTTTATATTTATGGATTTACATTATATCAACTATTCGTGACATTGGTCCTTACGCCGAGAAGTAATAAGTTATCGGCGATCACAATATATGTTATTAATGGCTGTGCCTGTGGTACCACTCTGAAATGTACGGATCTAGGCGATCCTTGCCCTTGTAAAAAGTTTAGCAGGAACTAAAAATTCCTCCCTTAACATTTCACCCGGATATGACTCGTAAATTAAAGCAAGAAAGTTTCAAAAAATTGCAAAAGTTGGGTTATCTGCTCAGAGATTATTTTAATTTGCGTAATGATAAGATCGTCTACACTAACAATCACAAAAACCATTAATTACCTATTTGCGTTCGCAAGAACAAATCGACGTTGTACTCAGGGTAAATTTACAGTTAAACCGAAGCAGTATTTTCAATTCTATAGTAAGGTCAAATACGACCATATTCTTTCGGAGGGGAGGAAAGGCGCTCTGCGACTGACAGGGAGTTAATAATAGTCATAATGTGAAACCAAAGCGATGAAGATATCTGGATGCTAATATTGCACCTTATGCCTCGAAGAGTCACCCCTAAAGGGCCTAGCGATCGGTGTGTAACACATCGGATGTAGGGGCTAATTTTTGATTTTTGATTTTTGTAACACATTAACATTATTATTATTCGATGCAAATTGATAATCATCTGATGTCAAGCCAAAATCGCACACGATGTCCACTTTTGACGTTTGTAATTCGAGATATATAGTATTTCGCATTTAAAAATATATTTGTGTATAGTAATAGTAAATAATTCGTATGTCTCTGCCGCGAGCTATCAATGCTCAAAGCGTCCACACTTCGTGAGTAATTCTTTTTTCGGCATCTTCATGGGACATACCAGATTTAACTAGATTTTTATACGCTCTAATACGCCAATCTCCAAAAGCTAATGTCGTAATGCCATCAGAAAGGATCCATCTTTTTGTATCTAGTGGACTGAGACCGATCTTTGTGGATCGCAACAATCTGATAACATGATCTTTACTTCCTAATCGATGCATTGTTACCATATTAATATGCTCTTTTTGCGTTTGTAATCATGAATCGTACATGTCATGCGTAAGATTTTTCTTTACTACAACTTTTTGCACTCCCTTAGCCCGCCTATCCGACTTTTCATTTGCAAGGATATAACTGTATTGCTTCGGGCGGAGAAAGATACCCTTCCACATCGGAATACCGTTGCATTCGTCTTTGAACTTACCTGGGACTTTCTTATTCTTCTTCTACGCTCCCTCCGGTAAATTTTTAACTAACTCATGCTCGGGTGGGTATTCGCTAAAATCGAAATATTTATGCATCTCAGCCATATCCTTATATACATCCTCGGTTTGGATAAGAAGGATAAGGGAATCTGTATCAGTATATACTAAATCTACCTTATCTCCATAGCGCTCTTTCATAACATTATAATAGAAATTGTACATGGTAACCTTACTTTCATCTAAAACGCTCTGTCCGACAAAGATGGGCTTGCTAAGTTTTACCTTAGATTGATGACGATTAATACCTACCAGATTTTCAGCTAAAATTCTGTGAGACTTATAGCTAGGATCAGCTACCAAGCGTTTGAATTTTCTTGACTCGGATTCCGGTCGGACAAAATCTATTTTTTGATATTTACGCACGTTTTCCACTGTCTTTCCGTAATTAGCATTACCTAAAAGTTTATACATGGCTTTTTCAAAATCATTAGTAGCTAAAACCCGAGATCTCGCTAACTCTTCCATAAACGGTTTCATCCATGGATTTTGATCAAACTCGATGGCTCTATGAATCTTTGTAAGGCGCATTCCCAGATTAATATAACACTGAAGCGCTCGATAATGGACAATATGTTATTGAGATTTGGGACGAGTTTCTTGGTCTTTGTATAATGTCCCAACTTACTGATAAGGTCTTGCTGATATTTAGCCATTTCCTCTTTTGAGATTTCGACATTTTCGGGAGCGAGCGGATACGCAGTATGCGATTTGTGCAATGTGTCTGGATATTCTAGATCTACGTGGGGTGGTCGAAAAGTCTTGCGCGTGTGGCTGTATTTCAGCGAAAATCAACCTAAACCCAAAATGGAAAATGCGCCTCAATGCGCATCATTTCAAGGGACAAAGAAAAAAAATATGATCGGAATTCATTTACTCGTTGTCGAGAAATTGATTTTTTTTTCCACCTTACTAAAACAATTGAC